CTTTAATAGAAGGCAATTTAGTTTTGTGTGGAACCATTTCACAAAGAAAGCTGTAAATGGTGAAGAAAAGGCAAAATGCAATTATTGCACGAAGTAACTTGGAGGCAAGTCAATGAATGGTACTAAACATTTGCATGATCACTTTAAGAGATGTCCAGGGAGGAAAATTACGGACATAAGACGTAAGGTTTTGACTTCTAACTTAGTGAGCAATGCAATGTCTCTTACTTTTGATCAAGAGATGAAAAGAAAGGAGCTTGTTTTTATGATCATAATGCATGAATACCCACTCTCTGTGGTTGATCATATCGACTTCGGGAAGTTTACAAGTACTCTTCAACCATTATTTTAGTATCTAAGTAGAAATATAGTGAAAAGTGAAGCCTTCAAGATATATGATAATGAGAGAGCCAAAATGATGAGACTTTTCAAAAAACTTAAAAGTAGAATTGCCATCACTACTCGATTTATGGATAGCGAGCAACCAAAAAAAAAGGATTTATGGCCATTATAGCTCATTACATTGATAGTTCTTGGACATTATGAAGCTATTTTTTGAGGTACTCTTCATTTCTTGTTAACTTAATGATGTTTGTTTAATTTTTTTTAGTTTAATACTTCTAGTTTATAACTAATTTATATCTTGCTTTAGGTTTATGTATGTTCCTTGTCGACATATAAGCATTATCCTTGCAATCGCTTTGGTTGATTATTTGATAGATTGAAATGTTGAAGAAAAATTATCTACAATTACATTAGATAATTGTTCCACCAATGATTCTATGGTTGAGTATGTGAGGGATAAATTAAAATCTAAAGATTTATTAAATTTTGGTTCTTTATTGCATATGCGGTGTTGTGATCATATCATTAACTTAATAGTAAAAGATGAGTTAGATATCATTAAGGAGGGAGTTGAACGAATTAAAGATAGTATAGTATTTTAGACAACAACTCCTACAACAGTTGAAAATTTTGAGGAAGTCTGCTAACTTTTTTCTCATTCCTATCATGAAAAAATTGGCTTTAGATTGTCCAACTAGATGGAATTCTACTTATTTGATGCTTGAAATTGCTTTATTATATAAGGATTGTTTCTCTAGGTTGAAGCATCGTGAACCTCATTATAAGGTTGCGCCTATCGATAGTGATTGAGAATTCATAAAGAAAATATGTGGGAGATTAAAGATCTTTTATAGTGTTATTAAATTGTTTTTAGAAACTCGATACACCACGGCTAATATGTTTTTCACTAAAATTTATGAAATTAAAGTTGCATTGACTCAATGGCTCACTTGTCCTAATCAAATGATTAGTGAAATGATATAAAGTATCTTAGTCAAGTTTAATAAGTATTTGAGTGTGATTCATAAAATAATAGGAGTAGTTACGAGTTTTAGATCCTAGGTACAAAATGGATTCACTAGAGTTTTATTTTAAGAAAGTTTATAGGAGTGAGGCTATGGTTCGGATGGAGAATATAAGGAAGCTTTGTTATTGTCTGCTGGCTAAGTACCAAAAAAATAAGAATATGGATGTAGGATGTGGTAGCTCTGTTATGGCTAATCCTTTAACGAGTTTATGAGGATATGGAATCCGAGTTTGACTTATATGTTTCAAGAAAGATGGCCAAGGTTACTTTTATCAATACAAAGCAAGACTACTACTTAGATAAGGGTGTTATTCAAAAAACCAAAGATTTTGATATTCTAGTATGGTGGAAAGTAAATGGGGGTGAAGTACCTTACTTTGATGGCAATTGCTAAAGATGTGTTGGCAATCCCTATGTCAACTCGTTACTTCATAATCAACTTTTAGTGCTTGGTGGTAGGCTAGTAAGTCCATATCGAAGTAGACTTCATCCAAAGATGGTGGAAGCATTAACGTGTGCTCAAAATTGGTTGTGGGGAGCTAAAAATAAAAGTAATGTACTAAAACTCTACATATGAATTTGATTTTTTTTCTTAATTTCTTAAAAATTTTATATATCTTATTTATGTTTATTATATTTATTTCTAGGTGGAACTGCATTTGTTTTAGATGGTTATTGTACTATGTATGAGGAGTACCTAGAAGAAGACGAAGGTATAAAATAATATGTCAAAGATTAAATGACAATGTTGAAAAAAATTATGATGACGAATTCACTTTTTATTTTAATGAATGTAGGATCTCGCAATAATTGATTATTACGTTGAACTCCAATAGAATGAGTGAGTCTTGATGATCTTTGAGTAGTAACATGTAAAGATTTTTTTTTTTAATTGTATTTGTGATATTTTATTAATTTAATTAAGTATTTTATTTATTCGGTTGAAAATGACTTAATATATTATGAATTGTAATGGAATCTTGTAGTTGAATAAGCTAAATGATTACATTGAACTCAATTTCCCTTTTTTGTTTTTAACTAGTAATTCCTTAATGTTGTATGCTATTGTCAATTCTAGTGCCATGTTTTTTTATTGGATTTATGTTATATTAATTACGCTTACGGTGATAAACCTTTTCTTATGTTTATCCTTACAGTACTCTTCTTAATATTGTAATTTACAAAGGTAAAAGGTTGTATCCAAATGTCCAATGGTACTATCTTTGCATGTTAGCAATCGAACGGATACTACATTCCCTAATGCTACCTCATCAACCTTTAGACATTCTAAGAACCCAATATCAATCAAATTTGAGCAAAAGGTTATTGCTTTAATAGTATCACTACTAAAAAATAAAGAAAAAAGGAAAGAGCTAATTAAATGACACGATATGCCCATTCATTAGAAACCACAATAACCATCATTATCTAGTTTGTACATCCATAGCAGATAAATAGTACTAATGGTACTAATGAAGGAAAGAGTATTTTAGATAAAAGTCTCTAGCAATTAGCAAAGGTTGAAAGAGCATAAGTAACTGGATTCTAATTTAACAAATTCATACCTTTCCCATCATCAACGAGCCCCAAAGAAAATATCTAGCAATTTTATCCACCTACTATGGGTAGCCAACAAGATTATACAGAGTATAAAGGGATTGTAGTTAACCTAGATTACACTAAGTCACCAACTTAGCTTCGTCATGCCTTGTTTAGTAATTTTCCTTTCCAACCGAAGTCTTTCCGGGATTTTATCAAAGAGGCCAAGATATCATTTTTCAATAACTAATCAAATAAATCTAGTAAGAAAACTCGAACCTTGCAACACTCTTTTGATGATTTCCATTAGTCATTAAGAAGGAATAAATCTTGGTTCTTGAAATTAAATGAATTACACTAAAATTTAGCTAAAATGTTTTTTCATACAAGTTATGTGAGGGGAATGCATTTCGACAAAGGAAACCCATTTGAATATTACTATATATTTATGCTAGAGAGAAGAACTTCTAGTAATAAAGAAATTAACAAATCAGAAAATAGATTACAAAAGACGTAGAAGGTAACCTAATTGCCACAAGTCCATCATTCTCCTAGGAAGATCAATCATAATAGCCTACTCGGCAAATATCTCCATTGGTGCTTGCATTTAATCCATCATTAATGTCTCCGACTTGAATGAGAAAGGAGAGAAACAATGCCGAAGCAGAAATCACATTGGGGAGATTTAATTTTGTGGGTATTAATTCGGTTAGGATCTATTGTTGATGAGGATGGAATGTTGAATTTTGTGGCGTGATTGAGTCCTATTAAGTGGGTATTTTACTCGGGCAAGATTTTATGGGTTTTTTACTCTAGCAACATTTTATGAGGTGTGAGGCTTTTACCAAAATTAGGGGTTTATGTTTTATTTGAAAAATAGGTGACGTTTTAGTTTCATCCTTATAGATATTAAACATTTTTAGACAATTTTCTTTTCATCCCAAATAGATATTTAAATAAATAATTTTTTTCCTTAAATAACTTAACATTTTAAGACATATTTTCATCCCAAAATAGTATAATTCATCCTAAAATAATTAATTTTCACAACGAGAGGCATAGGATAAGGTGGGCACGAGAGGGAAAAATTGGGTGCTAGTGATTTAAGGATGAAATTTTTATTTTGTCAACAAATATTCATATTTTGGGACAAAAATAAATTCATAGGCAAAATTTTTGTAGCTAAATTTAAAATTTATTGTAGTGAATGCTTTTAGCATCTAGAATGATTGTTTAGCTTCACCTATCTTTCTCTACTTTAATATTATTGTTGGATTAAATCTAGCTAGCATTTACTAGATTGTTCAATAGTTAAATATTAATCAAATAACGTCCATTTAGTTAAAAAATTATTAAAGAAAGATTAGGGATAACATATATATTGTTGTCCAATAGTGAATATTCATGTTAAGAATAGGTTAAAGTTTGAAGTAATGACTAGTGATTAAACCAAAAGTGGAAACCAATTTTCAACCAAGGTTTTTCTCATTATTGTTAATTCTATTTACTTTTGATTGCTTACAAATCTTCACAAACATAAACCCTCCTTTCATTTCCATTGTACTTCGGAATAATCAACTGAAAGAAATCATTTATTAAACCATTTTTTTACGTAGGTTTAACCCTTGCTTGCTCTATCTACATTCATATGGTTGGGTTCCATAAGAAAAATAAAAACAATCTAATTTATTAGCTCGTATGACATGCCATCAAAAACATGAATAACAAGTATTCCATGACAACAACATTGGCTAATTCGTCGCCTTAAAAAGGCTTTTGTGTTAAGCTCACGGAAAGGTGACTTAGGTCATTTTAAAAACTTACAAATTAAAAACTTGAGAGACTTCAAATGCTCCTCACAAAATTTCCTTAATGGATGATTTCATGATCCGGGTTTTAAGTGTTAGGTTCATGATGGAGGTTGTACAACTAGTGGTAGTGAGAGAGGCTACGAGTTTATGTTGATCGCATGTATTCAAGTGGTTGCCATAGAGTATTGGCTAGTGTTGGTGGTCTTGGGGTCGGGTTAAGATGAAAATGGTGGGGAGTGATACACTTTGAGTGCCTTGATGGTTGTGTAATCTTGTTTATGGAGGTTAGAGGGATGTGGGGAGGAATTGATGGCCAAGATAGCGGCTGCTTGTCTTATATGATGGTAAATGCTAAAGATAATGGCTCGGCTATTGGTGGAGAGGCGAGGGCTCATGTGTATGGTTGTGGTTGTGTCTTTTGGTGGAGATGGAGCTTAAGGGTGGCTATTTTGTTGTGTGATGGTAAAGACTAGAGATGGTAGTTGTAGTCACTAGTGGAGATAGGAACAATTGGCTTTGATGATGATTGTCATGGAGGTTTAGCGGGCTTGTCATATGGTGATGAGTTATTATAGGTTAGTATGTGTGGAATGAGGAGAAGAATGGCAAGCCATGGTAATGGTGTGCTTGGATGAGTGAAGGAGAAGAGAATGCATGGGTGATGGCGATTGTAGTTTGGAAGAGTTTGGGATGGCTTAAGGTTTGACCACAAGGCGGTGATGGTGATGATGGAGGAGGCATGAAGATTAAAGAAGCCATGGCGGTCCTCCTGCTACAAAAAGGTGTAGCGGGAGGACTACCAAGGTTGTATTATTATTATTATTATTATTACTTGGAAACCATGATGGCTACTAAGGTTCTTATAACTCCCTACATTTTGATTGTTAGGTTTTTTAGGGTTGAAGAATAGTCATGGAGGGCCACCCAAAACGAAGGGAAAGAGTTGCTTATATAGGAGATTTTTGAGGTTGGGGGATGAGTCATCTCCTTAATCATTTTCTTTCTTTCTTTTTTATATATTTTTATATGTTTTATTTTATATATTTTTTTCTTTTTTTTATTCTTTTTTCAATTTTTGTTTTGTTTTGTAATAATTTTTAAAATAAAGTAAAATGAGATAAAATAAAATAAGAAATAAAAAAAAAGATGGGGGAAATTTTGAGTTATGATATTAATGATGATTTTTGACTTTTTAGGTTTTTTTGATGATTGTAGTTTTTGTTTTTCCTTTTGCTTTGTTTTGCTTTTCATTTTAACTTTGTTTTGTCAGCCACCTATTTACTGGGCTTTCACTTTCTATGATATCATAATTTTCATTAAAAAAAAAATGTATATTCACGTAGGACAGTAAGCTTTGGATCTTGAATATTAACAATCCTCTTGATGATTCAACCTTGTTATAATTCTCGTGTAACCTGATGATCAGGGTACCTATAAATAAACTGACAAAAAATGTATTTTTTTGCTGCTTCAAATTAATTTATAGTTGATAGAAGTTAAATCGTGTTGTTCTTTGCTTAACAGTACCTCATTAGCTGGTGAATCCATAGTTCGCTCCTACGTGTGGTTTAATCTCTGCCCTGTAAAAGGTAAAGTGTTTACTTAGCTGGCGCTACTAAAGATACTAAATATCAGAAGTTCACTTTCTATAAAAAGTATGATAAGCGACGAAACCAATATTTGTCCTTTCTACAATTCTAGTCAAGAAACAATCCAACACCTGCTTCTTTATGTGACGTAGATTATGTTGTGCCAGATCTTGTCCTGATGGGATAATATTTGGGTTATGTCCCATTCTATTAATGACATTTTGAAGGATGAGAATATTTTTGTAATGGACGGATGCATAAAAAGATTTGGTTCTTAGTTCTCCACGTAGCCTTTTGGTCTATCTGGTTGGCAAATAAAACCATATGGTCGTAATAGGTCAGATTGGGATTATATATATCTCCCCTCTAGTTTTCTACAGTAGCTTATTGGACAAAATTTATAGGTGATCATTTTATCTTGAGCAAAAGAAATTTTATGAGCGCTTTTTCTATCTCAACAGGGATCAAAAATCAAATGAAGTCGATTTTTTAACAGTCAATAAGGCTTTAGAGAGTAGCAGGTCTTCTATTTATACTCATTAGGTGAAATGGATTATTGAATTAAACTCGACTAATGCCATCATTTGGATAAATAAGGTAGTTTCTATTAGGTCTTGGCATTTGCTGACTATCTTTAACTCCATTGATTTTTTTAGTAGATCCTTGATTCTATTTTCTCTAGACATATTCTTCATGAAGGAAATGTAATGTTAGATTCCTTATATAGGAGTAGTCTCCACATAGAAAATGAACAAATTGCCTGACTATAGTTTTGTTTTCCTCTGGAATTTTTTAGTGCATTCTTATAGGTCTCATCTTTGTAATCTTACCAGCTACTAGCTGACTATCTTCAAGTTAATCTAATCTTGATTTTCATTTAAAAAAAATGATAAAAATAAATAATTAATTAGATTGCTTTAAAAAATTAATCAGATTAAGAGAGACTGAATGTTTAATTGAGAGCAACTTTATATACTAACATTCAATTTGGGGCAAATAAAAAATCAGAAATGATAATTAATAATTTCTTCTTCTGTCCATCATCAAGACTTCAACCCCAACCCCAACACATTGGCATGAATGGATGAATAAGAACAGGAGTTAAGTAGTTCAATTTTTTATGGAATGGCCAACGCCTGGACTGGGGCCTGCTTCCGTGGGTCGAAAATCATCAAGATTGTTGACCTTACCTGTTTGCTCCTGACCAGCTGCCAAACCGTGATTACCATTTTCTGGCACATTCAGATCAGTAGTGTTATCATTATTCTTTGAGCATTTCTTGCACAATTCAGAATTTAAAAGCCTTCCCTCTACCATAACAACTTCATGACACAGTGTCAAGAAAAAAGAACAATACAGACACCTGTTACTCTAGAGGTGGCCATATTGATGAGAGGTTTTAAAGTTAGGCTAAGAAAGGGCAGGGAGGAGATTGTATGTTATGATCTCCTTCCTCTACTGTGAAATTAAGTGTTTAGAAGTCGACCTACCCTTTTCCTACACTGTGGTGCTATTTATATACTAGGGTTGCAAGTGGTTTAAAACGCTTTTCTTTGATTTGTGCAGTGATTAAGGTTTCCAGACAAAAACATGTGAGGGGTCCTCACAAGTGGGAAGATTCCATCAAGTTTGTTGAAGCAAAACAGGAGAATGAGAAAAAAGCAACATTGGATGGTTTAAATCAACGGTTTAAGCCCTACCTCTCGTGAATGAGAAAGCTTCGAACCATCTTAGCTCTGGTTAGTTGTCTATATATTCTCTTTGCCTCCTGGCACAAGCAGTACAAGTATCAGCACTTTTACTTTGTCCATTTACAGCAGCAATTTTTGTCTTGGTTCATTAGAATTTTTTTCTGAAGTTAAACTGTATGTGGACTTTCTCGTATTTCGTTTTTAAATCATCAACGCTAGTACATATTTCTATATTTGTACACAGGACCCTTGAAATTTATGCAAGTAAGACCTTACCTTTCCCCAATTAATTAGTACAAAATGCGACGAGATCTTTAATTATTATAATAACCACATACAAAATCAATTCTTGATCATCTGCAATATCCCCTACCTTTCAAAAAACTCAAAGGTTTCACTAGGGTTTAAAATAAAAGCCGAAAAGGTGTGTACTTCCCACTATTCCCATGCAACTGCGCCCACTAGCCTTCCCATTACCTCATGGCCCATGATTACACTGTTCATTAATTTCGACTGTTACTTCGAATCTAGGACCCTTTTAATTTTTATCATAAGCAAACCCAACTTTAAAACTAGCGAGACTTTCCCGTATTTTTTTTTTTAATTTTCATTTTTCTTTTGGGTTAACTAAAAAGAACAACCTCCAAAAAGTTTGCGACATTGATCATTAGCCATCAAAAGAAATCAAAACATTCCCTTGCAGTTAATGGCAAAATTGAACAAAAGAATTAAAAGGATGTGTAACTAGGTATGGGGATGTTTTGATATTTTGTACTTGAAAAAACAAGAATATAAATTCCCAGACCAAAATAGTGGAGCACATTTTAGACACTTCTGTCCATTCCTTGTATACCCTCAGTGGTATGCAACTAGCTTTTTGATTGATCTTTTTGATAGGGACAAAATTAGAACTTTAAAAGTTTGGGTAAGAGTATAAAATTTTACATTCAAACTTTGTACTCTTTGAGTTTTTTTTTTATTCAAATTTTTTATTTTTAAAATATTTTATTTCAATTTTTCTTTTATAATTCTATCAATCGGTGATCAACACATTTTTGAGATTTTTTATTTTATAATGCTACATATCGATCACTAATTAGTAACATTATAATAAATGATTTGAAAAAATATTCGAAGAGTAAAGAATTTTAATCAAGTTGAAAAAAGAATAAAAGATCCCAATCGAAAAAAATTCAAAAAGTATATGGTTCAAATGTGAGAGGGAAAAAAAAATAAAACCCTAAGCATAAACTTGTATAGAAAATAATAAATATAGGCTATATAGGTAATACATAATTTTTGGGGGTTCAAAATACATAAATCTTAAGAAGTAAATCTTCGTTTAAAGGATATGATTTTTCAAAATTTTAAGACTAAACTAGGAACTTCTCAAAATTTGGGGGTGCCATGGCATCCTTATACTATTTCCGCCCCTGCATTTTGACGTAGTATCAGAAGTATGCAAAGGCATGAGATCTTTCCAAGGCTATTGGATCTTAATAATTTGTTAGTCAAATTATTCTTGATCCTATTACAATAAATAGCTCCTGCGTCTCAAAGGACTCGAAGGTTGCGCTACAGGGTTTAAATTAAAATATAAAACATCGAGTGTGTTTTATAGAATCCCACTGGGACCACTAATCGCCATCTCTCACAGGCAATGATAATAATTTTAATTATTTAATCTGTGGAACAGACAACCTAATTTGATGAGGCTTAAACAAAATTCGAAAAGTTTAAGATCAAAATAATCAATTAAAATTATTGTTAACCACTAAAAAGAAGAAATTAAGATTCCCTTGAAGTTAATAACAAAAGAAAAGTAAAGTCATAAAGGAGAGGTCTCTCTACGTTTGGGAGGGATGCTTGAATATATGCATGGAACAGAAAAACTTAAACTTCCTTTCCGTATATATGATGAGAAATGTATCATGTGTCTTTGGGAAAAGAGTTCATATTTTCCTTTTTTGTTATTATTTTCATGTACATGTGTTTATTTATTTTATTAGTTTTTGAAATGCTTTAACAGTAAGCTGGCTGTATTTCGAATATCTCTAGGCCTTTGTCCGTTTGGTTTTGCAGGTGAGATGTTTTAGTTCAAGTCTTAAAAGTTAGGCAGTTTTTCATTTTGAAATGTGGATTACTCCATAACCCTTCAGAATGTATCTGCAAACTGCAATGTAATTTTATTACTTCAATCTCGACGACTGAAATGATACCAAGGTTCAATTCAGCCTCTCTCAATGATTCCTATATTTTCTTCCTTTGCATTAAGCACGGACATAACGAAAATCTTGAGGAAAGAAAAGAAAGGGTAAGGGAGAATTGTAAGCCTTTTTGCTTCTAATGTTGCTTTTTTTGGTATCGCTGTTTATTTGTGGCTACAGTGGTTTGAAAGGATAGCTATTGAGCATGTCCTGTTGAAACTGAATTTGAAAATGCATTAACTTAATTCAGATACTATCAACACAAATTAGCTAACTTGATTTTGAATGACTAGCTAGTAAACTTATCACAACTCTTAAGAGAAAATTGTCAAGAAGTGAACAGCTTCTTTATCATAAGTAAAGCTTAAGGTCTGCAGGTCTGCACTAAAATATTCATTCTGACATAGGTCACATGTATGGCCAAAACGATGGACTATGCTACAAAAGAAACAAATTAGTGTTGTACATATGAATTGGTTCGAGTAATTTTTTTTTCTTTTTTTTTGGTGATGAATTCAGATGTTAAAGCCAAACCATCCCAGTGGATTTTTCATTCCTTGAAAGGACAAAATAAATAAATTACTTGTAAATTACTTGATACTATCTCAACTAATCATATCTTGCATGCAATTGTTATCCCATTCTCCATTATAGATATAACCCAAAGTTCAAAGGGCATGTCAATGAGAAGAAGAAGAAGAAGATCATCGAGGAGAACTTTAAAATACAGAAAAGTAGAAAAGAAAACATATTCTATATATATAGAGTTACCAATGAAGACATGCTTAATGCTCTCTCTCAATTAAACTGAAAATAATACAAATCCTGTCAATGACGTCTAGAAGTGAAAATACATATATAAAATGCAATTCAAATTAAAAGCACAAGGAAAACAAATCCATAACAATAAAAGTAACATAAGTGCTACTAGAATAACCACCCAAAGTACTTCAGATCATTGCTTTAATTAATTAGTTGTGGATGGGATGACCAACACCTGGACTATGACCAGGGTTTGTACGCGAAAAGCATCCGCGACCCCTTCACTAGTTTTAATAGTATGGTGCAAGGGATTACTTTTGCTTGCATTATTTTCTTTAGTGTTTCTTGCGATGCTCTTCCCTTCAGGATTGCAGCATTTGGCATGCTTCAATCGTTTTCTCAGTCCCAAACTCCTTCCTTCAACACAAAGGATATCGTAAGACAACAACATTAATAAGAAAAACAAGCAAGTGCAAGCAGCATTGGCCATGTTTAGATGGGACGAGATTAATCTGAAACTTAACTGGTGTTACGATTCTAAGGAATAATCTTATTAAGTGACCTCAATCAAAGAGTAAGATACCTAGAAAGTGTAAGAAATATGGCATGATGTTATGGCCCATATTTTATGTAAGCCCATATTAAGTTGGTTTAGGGTTTTCTTAATTTAATAATATGTTAAATCTGGACCGTTAATTTAGTACTTGATGGACGTACAAGATTTAATATTAACGAGTATATAAACTAGTCCTCTCTCTACCTTAAAGTAGTATGCGGACAAAAACATAAAAAAACGAACGTATGTATTTTGGCTATCCATCAAGCGACCTGCTACGGAAAAGAGGGTCAAGGGAGAGAAACTAATTTATAAGGTTCGTGATTGTTGAAAGCTCTCTCTACATCATGATGAATTCCGCTCAAGGTAAGTAATTTATTCGCTTTACTTATGTGATTATTATTTTATTCAAGATCCCGAATGGACATGAATGATTTATGTCTTGATCATTGCATAGAATGATTTATGTTTTGATATTTAAGCATGAAAGTTTTACATGTGGTATCGAGCCTAAGTTTTGAATAGATAATAATCCTTAGATTATTGATGAAAAAAAAAATTATTACTACCGCCATCGCCAACAATCGACAACGAGTATCATATTTAAGGGCGGCGTTGGATGCCGCCCTTGATTGGCCATGCAAGGCCTTGCGTAGTCGGCTTGCATGCGCTCGTTGATTGTATGTCTATATGTATATATATAGACATACAAGGCCTTGCATGATGACGCCATGCAAGGCCTTGCTCATGATATATATGTATATATATTTAATTTATTTATTTATTGTTTTATGTATACATGACACTATGATTAAAAATTAATTTGTTAGTCACCAAAGTGGTCAAATTAATTTTGAATGTGTGATCATATAATTTATGTATTTTTTATTAAATGCTATTGAGAATAGAAATTTATTAGTTGATAGAAATTATTTCTCTTTTATATATATATGATAGTATGATTAAATTGATTTGTTAGTCACCAAAGTGGCCAAATTAATTTTGAATGTGTGGTCATATAATTTTTTTATAAAATGCTATTAAAAATTATAAATTTATTAGTTGATAAAAATTAAGGACATTTACCCAAAGGTAAATCAATGTTCTATAACTAATAAATATAAAGGAAGAAATTGATATACTCTTGTTATATATATATAGTTATCCAAAGATGCTATATGTATTTGAAAAATGTTTATTTAATTTCTTATAAAGTCTAAATGGCTTTTGAATGATAGTGATAATATGTATTGTTGCGTTTACCCAAAGGAAACCTATAATATATTTAATGTATGTGCTTTACTGTCCGAATTTGTTAATTAGTGAGTGTTTATATGTTTACGGCTATTAGCCTTCATTCTCGAAGCATCTTCTGTTACCTTGATTATTGGTGTGAATTTCTCCGAATGGAGCGAACAAGTCACTTTCCATTTAGGTGCTTTGGATCTTGAGTTGGCGCTCGTTAGAGGATAAGCTCGGTGACCTTAATGCTACTAGTACGGAGGTCGAAAAGGCACACCATAAGGCGTGGGTAAGGTCTAACAGATTATGTTTGAATTTTATGCGAATGTCGATTGCCAACAACATTAAGTCTACTCTTCCTAGCACTGAAAATCAGAATGCTAAAGATTTTCTTAAGCTTGTGGAAGAGAAGTTCCATTCTGCCGATAAGGCACTTACGGAGACACTTATGGTTGAACTCACGACCATGAAGTTTGATGGGTCAAAGAGTATGCAACAACATGTCCTTGATATGACTAACATTGCAGCAAGACTTAAGACACTTGGGCATGATTGTGGAAGACTCCTTCTTAGTACGAGTTTATCATGAACTCACTTCCTACCGAATATGGACCGTTCCACATCAATTATAACACATTAAAGGATAAGTGGAATATTGATGAACTATCCGAGTAAGCTTATTCGGGAGGAAGCGAGATTAAAGAAATAAGGAGTTCATTCTATTAGCCTAGTAGGTCGAGGAGCTGGAAAAAAATTCAAACCAAAGTCCAAGAATTTCAAGAATAAAGAACCTGCTAAAGTTTTACGGAGTTGTCGATGATGGAAGGAAGGGACAAAAGTTAGATAAATGTCATTTCTACAAGAAAGAAGGACATTATCGGAAGGATTGCCCAAAACGTAAGGCTTGGTTCGAAAAGAAAGGTATGCATTATGTTTACGTATGCTTTGAATCAAACTTATCCGAAGTTCCTTCAATACTTGGTGGTTTGATTCGGTGCCACTACTCATGTTTTCAATATTATGCGGGGATTTCTTACAATCCAAACCATAAGCCTAACTAGCAACTTTACGTTTACTGGGAACCGAATGAAGGCCCCAATTGAAGGTGTGGGGACCTACGAGTCGACATTAGATACTTGGACATCACTTGAATCTAATGAACACTCTCTATGTACCTTCAATTTCTAGAAATTTAGTTTCGTTTCTAGACTTGATGCTAGTGGTTATACTTTTGAGGTTGGACATGGTTGTTTCAATTTGTATAAAAATAATTGCTTTATTGGTTATGCAATGCTTATGGATGGTTTATATAAATTGAAACTTGATGTTGGTTTTTCCGAATCCCTATTTATTGTTAATCATAATATTGGAATGAAATGGAGTTTGGCGAATGAACATTCTTCTTACTTGTGGCATAACGTTTGGGTCATATATCCAAAGAAAGGTTAGAAAGATTGGTAAAGAATGAGATTCTACCGAATCTAGATTTTATCGATCTTGGCTTATGTGTGGAATGCATTAAGGGCAAGCAAACCAAACATAACAAGAAAGGAGCCACAAAAAGCGATCGACTTCGGAAATAATACACACCGATATTTGTGGACCATTTGACACTCCATCTTTTAATGGAGAAAAATACTTCATCACCTTTATAGATGACTTTTCACGATATGGATATATCTATTTGCTTGCATGAAAAATCTCAAGCTATAAATGCCCTTGAGGTGTTTGTAAAAGAGGTTGAGAGGCAATTAGATAGAAATATGAAAATTATAAGATCCGATAGAGGTGGTGAGTATTATGAAAAATATGATGAATCCGGATAGTGTCCTGGTCCATTTGCTAAGTTCCTCGAAAGTCATGGCATATGTGCACGGTATACTATGCCCGGCACACCGCAATAGAATGGTGTGACAGAAAGGAAAAATAGAACATTAATGGATATGGTTAGGAGTGTAATTAGTAATTCCTCATTACCCAAAAGTTTGTGGACGTATGCACTTAGAACTCGCTATGTATTTGTTAAATAGGGTTCCTAGCAAGGCGGTTCCTAAAACTTCTTTTGAGTTATGAATTGGAAGGAAACCTAGTTTAAGACACCTACATATTGGGGGTTGTCCATCGAAGCACGAATTTATAATCCACATGAAAGAAAAGCTGGATTCTCGAACAGTTAGTGGTTACTTTATAGGTTATCCGAGAGAAATCCAAAAGGTATAGGTTTTACTATCCGAACCACGGTTCTAGAATTATTGAAACAGATCAATGCCAAATTTTTAGAGAATGATGAGGTTAGTGAGAGTGCTGAAAAATAGGTTATGGATATTAATGAAATAAGGGTTAATATTCCATTACTCATAAATGTTCTTAAGTACACAACCACAACAAATATTGTTCTTGTTTTGGAAGATCAAAATAATCAAGAACAACATTTGGATAATGAAGAAACACCCTATGAAGAGCCTAACTTACCATTAGCTCATGCAAATGAACCAATTGGTATAGCTTTAAATAGACCTATAAGGGTTAGAAGGTCGGCTATTTCTAATGATTATGTGGTTTATTTACAAGAATCATATTTTGATTATGGCATTGATAATGATCCTGTTTCATTTTCACAA